TGAACATTTGAACCCATTTTAAACCTTTTTGTCTTAGAACACACAGAATAAATCACACAACTGCATTAAAAATATTCACAAATAGCAATACTTTTTTACTTTTTTCTTCCTTCTCAAAGACTTTAACTCAAGAACTATTTAAATACAAACCAGTTAGTTTCCAGCCAAATTGGAGTGACAAAAGCAGCAGAAAAACTTTTGTTAATGCCCCGTTAGCTGATATTAAATCTGAGTGCAGAAAGTGACCAAAAGAACATTTTGCCGAATTAAATCTTAACTTTTCAGGAGTTGGTCATTTTTTAAAACACTCCAGATTTATGTTTCGAGCAAAACGTCAAAACTTACCTGCAAATATTCGTCAAGCAGCTTTGTGATTCAGTTAAACAAGTAAATTTGAGGAGTGATGAACTGAAAGAAAGAAAATATATTAAAAAAAAGTTAAAACTTTATTTAAAACAATATTAAAATGTTTGTGGAGGAAAAGGGTGAAGGTAGAATTAAAGTCTATTTTATTTGATTGTAATAAAAAAAAGAATTTAGAAGAAGCCGAAGATTTTACAAGCTTTTCTTTTGCTCTCATTTTTTAAAATGTATTAGATAAATTCATTTGCTGAAATAAAAGTGGAAAAGGCGCGTAGAAAAAGCTGTAAAAAGGAGGAATGAACAGAATAAGCTGAAATAGAGAAGCTGAACTGATAAAAAAAACTCTGAAATAAGAAAAAAGGAACAGAAATGAGCAGAAAAATTTAAATTAGCCCAAAAAAAATAGCTAAAAGGCTATGAAAAACAGGCTGAAAGAAGCAGAAAAAGATTAAATTAATTTAAAAAGGCACAAATAATAGAAATTAGCAAAGAAAAGCAAGAAAAAGCTCAAATTAACAGAAGAAATACCTAAAACTTGTTTGAAAAAGCCAAAAACAAAAGCTGAAATGAGCAGCAAAAGGTTTGAAAGAAGAGAGCTCCGTTCATTTTCAATTTTAAAAAACATGGCTGACTAAGCTAAACATTTCACAAAGTAAAAACTGCACAAATACCCAAAGTCAAAGCAAGAAAGTCCTGAACAAGCTGAACATTTTGATAAATGTTGAAAGCATTCACTGTGTGATTTCTATGATGATGGTAGATTTGCTTCTTTTGAACTGCTGGTACAGAAGTTTAATATCCACAAGTCACAGGTAAATTTTAGATATTTACAACTGAGACATTTTGTGAGATCTAACTCTGATTGCTTCTCTTTGTACTCCTCTAAACATTTTGTGGCTAAAATTTTTTGAATGCAGGTCTCATATGAAGCGGGCCCTTAGCAAGATCTATAATCTGCTCAGTTCATACCATGAGTGCAGTTTGGAATCCCTTAAAGTGAAGTGGGAAGCGGACTTGGAGGAACCCATATCAGACTCAATCTGGAGAAGGATCATTAAGAACATTTACTCATCTTCAATCTGTTTGAGACATGCTGTACATGTAATTCAATTCAAGGTAATGCACCAGCTGCACTGGTCCAAAGACCAACAGTCCAAAATCAAAGCCAACCTGGACCCCGCATGCAATTGTTGCAAACAAATCCAGCTACACTCTGGACCTGTCTCAAAACTGCAGACTTTTTAGCAATGTATTTTTGATACATTCTCTGGGATATGTGACAAAACTGTATACCCATCACCACTCATCTCACTGTTTGGGGTGGTCCCTCCCTGTGGATACGTCCTTCAGCGAGACGGATGTGATTGCTTTGGGCTCTCTTCTGACCAGAAGACTGGTTTTGCGCAATTGGAAGGACCCACACCCCCAGCATTTGTACATTGCATAAGAGACGTGATGCATCATATCCATTTGAAAAAATAAGATATACCCTGAAGGGTTCTGTCAAAAGATTTTGGGACACGTGGCAGTCTTTTATGTTGTATGTGGAAAATTTGTCAGTGCCTGTTTAATTTATTTATGTACGTGTGACTGATCCGGTGTGGGTGAGAGGAAGGGGTATCTGGTTTTTTTTGTTTTGTTTTGTGTTCTTTATGTTTTGTATGTTCAAAATGAAAAGTTTATTTAAAAAAAGACTTTGTTTAAAAAAATGTTGAAATCGCACAAAAAATTGTGGAATGAGTTACGTGCGGGAAAACATACGGAAGAAAAACGGACCTCAGTAGTGAGAATGATTTATAAACATTCACATAATAAGACTTTAGTTTCATTTGAGTCTTGTTTCCAGCAGTCTGAATAAAGTATTGTCAAAAAGCTGAACGTCAGCCAACGCCATCTCTGCATTTTGGCAACTCGGGCCTAAAAGGGCCGAACCTTGTGCTGCTCTGACAACAGACTTTGTTTATGTTGCCTGTTGGTTTCTGTTTTGTCAGAGGGATGAGATCAGTTACAGCAGCTAACCTCCGTGTGAGAAACGACACACAGAACAAGAGAAGAGTGCACGAGGGAATAAAGGTGGCAGCACGAGGAAATGAGGATCAAGTAAACAGGGTTGGCACCGAAGGAGCAAACTAATCCTTCTGTCTCCTCTGAGGAGACAGAGGAGTCTGTCAACTCTCAACTTCTAACTTTTCCACATTGCTGACTCACTCCTTCTCTGTTTCTCTAAAACAAAGTGATTTAAAAAAAAAAAAATACCTGCACTCCTGTCCCCTAACTTCTTCTCATCTCTCTCGTTTCTTTTCTCTTCTGTCCTCTCTTCAAACCAGATTGAGGAATGCGTCCGAGTAGCACAAAGGAACAAAAGGCAGGACAGCGGGAGGAGAAAGAAGAAAAGGAGGAGAATGGAGGAGAAAGTTGTGGGATGGGGGGGCAGGTATTTTTTTTTTTTTTAAATCACTTTGTTTTAAGGAACCAAAGAGGGGTGAGGTCGGAATGGTGGAAAGGTTGGAGG